CAACTGAAGGTGTTTAAATATTTCACAGTATTCCTTTAGTTTCAGACCATCTGACTGAAAAGAACTGGGGTGGCATTGAAAGTAAAAGTCAGAAATTGCATATGAAATTCAGTAACGAACAACCAATTGTTTTATTGAGAATTGAGTGCCTGGAATTTCCAGTTGCCTTAACTTTCAGTGAGAAACACCTCTACATGGTGTAACCCCCAAACTAGAGAACCCGAAACACTGACATTTTAGTGGGAAAAATCAGAAGAAAGGGAGATAGGGTTGGAGGAAGAAATCCATCGGATCTTGCCACTGTGTTAGAACTTGTTAATAAGATGATTCTTTCTCTGGTATTCCACTTGAACCCAAATCATTTTCCCTCTGATGTGCTTATTGAGTCAGCTATAATAAACCTTCTTAAGCCCAACTGGGTCAGAGCTCTCAGTGCTTAACTGTGGTTACTGTAGTATGGAGTTGCTCCAATCCCCCATTCCATCGCAGGGTTACCCCCAGCATTCTGTCAACTTGCCCCAACAATTCGCCGCTACCCATTTATACTCTGGATTAGAGATACACATTGTGTTAAAGTAAAGTGTCTTGCCCAAACACACTTGTAATGCAATGACGCTGGCCAGGGCTCGAACCCGGACTGCTCAATTCAGAGTCCAGTGGGCACACTGGTATTAATTGTTACATTTTTACTTAACATGTTTGTTTGTTTATTTTCAGGCTGGCATGCCATTTGCAGTTGTAGGAAGTAACACCTTGATAGAGGTATGCGGCAAGAAAGTTAGAGGGCGACTGTATCCCTGGGGGGTGGTAGAAGGTAAGGCATGCTTCCCACATATATCTGCAATACTTTGATTTGACCTAGAGAAAGTAAAACAAAATGCTGACAATGCTTATTTCTGTTTCTTTACAGTTGAAAACCCAAAGCACTGTGACTTTGTGAAGTTGCGCACCATGCTTATGTAAGTTTCTCTCAATTATGTCATTTTTATTTGAATACCGGTGCTTAAGATTCCAAGATGATTTAGTATGAGGAACATTTTTGCTAATGGCGGGCATGTTCGTGAGCCAAATTAAGAAGATCACTTCTAGGCAATCACAGTTAACGCATATATTTCAATGAGCCAATCAGCGCCAGGCAAGCTGCCGCCAAGCGCTTGAAAAGTGTAAGCCAAGTGTAAACCAAAGTGAAAGCCAAGTTTCAATTAGGAAACAAAGTATTCAGCTTGAAAAGAAACTGTTGTCTGATGTCTGCTTTGGCGGGAAAGTCAAACACTTAGCTGATTATCAAACTGAAGTCAGAGCAGAAACATTTCCTCCGACGACGGGATAACGTTCTAAACTTTAACTTTTCCATGGTCGCTACTGCCGGCGGTTAATTTCCTTTGACAACTTCAAGCTTACAATCAGCTGAGTGTCAGTCAGTTAAGGGAAAAGAAAACATGTTTGCGTCCATTGATTATAAACCTTCTGAAGGGTGAACTCAGTACTCGTTTATTCCCAGCACCCACATGCAGGATCTCAAAGAGGTAACCCAGGAGACTCATTACGAGAATTTCCGAGCCGCTCAACTGTCAGGTGAAAGTCCAGTCTCCAACCAGGACTTGATTGACGCGCCAAAGAATGGAAAAAGGTAAAGCTAGCATTGAAGACTTTTTGTGCCTGATGCTCGAGGGATTCGATTTAGCGGCTGGGGTGGGGGGTGAGGGGGGCGCTTATTTTATTTTGATAACTCTAGGCGGGGGTGGTGGTGTGGTTACTAGAGAGGGGCGATTATTAGGGACGGCTTATTTGGTTTTGACATTAGCACATCAGTGTGTATAACGGAACACCCATATGGTAGAAAAGAAGAGAGCTCATTCGCGCCCTGATATGGAAATAACGGTCGAGCTCCTCTGAAGAAGACAATTTTTTTTTTTTCTAATTGATGGATTATCCCAAAATACTCTGATGGCCCTATAAATGTATTAGGAATAGGCAGTCTACCTATACGGGTGCGCTTAAATTGAAATATGGGATGCGAAGTGGAATGGGACACTTGTTAATAAAAAAACCATTCAGAAGAGTGTGCTTCTTCTAAGGAAGTAGCGCTTATTGCAAAGAGGGTGTTAAGTCAAATCATTACAGTATGTGAACTGCAGAAAGAGCTGTTCTTATACTACATCATTCCTTTTCTTCATTGCAGAGGTCATCACATTACGAGTGCTATCCTGGAGAAAGACCGCGCCTTGATGCAGAAAGAAGAGGAGGTTTGTAACTAAAGTAACAGATTACATTTAAAGGGGCTACGTCAGGGAGTGCGCATCTTGAAAAATTCAAAATTCAATTTGGTTGTTGGCAGTCCTTCTCAATCTTCTCCCATCTTAACCATTCTTGTTTCGTCTTAATTCATTTTTACCCCTTCAGTGTTTTTATACCTTAGTTTAAGCTGTTAGTTTCAGGTTTTATTCTATTGAAATCAGCGTGCAAAGAAAGTCCTGTCTGATAGCCCAGGGATAGAGGATTCTATCTTTTTTTTATTTTATGTTGTATTTGGAATTGAAATTTCAGAAAATTCAACGTATTACAACAGTACTGTACGACTAGAGAAGAAATTATTTTTCTAAAATTAACTTTTAATCACTGAATCGTGCTACCGGGGATTCGGGGATTCTTTTTGGCCGGAGGTGGTGGTGGGGGGATGGGGTTGGGGGTTGGGCAAGTGAAAGTTAATGCGGGGTTAGCACATTCTAGTTTTAGCTTGCAGGCTGGAAAACTGATTCCTTTCCACCCTGTGAAATAAGAGTTTTCTTCCCGCTTATATGGACACCGGACGTGCACATGTTAAAGCGGGCTTATATTGATCGAAAATGGGTACGGTGGGGTTTTCAGCGTAGACAGAAACGCTGCCCATAGTAATGTTTTGGACGCCACCTACTTCAAGCATTTGGACAATTCTATATGCTTTAAAAAGTTTGTTCTGAAATATGTGATCTTATTTTTTTTTCTTCAGCTTCGCCGTATGCAAGAAATGATTGCTCAGATGCAAGCACAGATGAAAAGCCAGAGCTAAGCCAGAGTTACTGGGTCTGGATAAAGCTAGTGGAATGATTCGCTGTAAGTCTTCGATCAGCTCCAGAGAGTAACAGAAAGTAATAAAGTAATGATACCGTGAACTCTCGATTATGACCCTTGGCATACAAGGACCTCCATCATTTATCATAAGCCCATGGATTATAAAGCCCCTTATTTGTAAGCCTCGTGTTAAAGCCCATCATTATGAAGTCCCTTGATTGTAAGCCCATTGATGACAGTCTTGATAAAGCCCGTCAATTTTAGGTCCCTCGATTATAAGCTCCTTACCCCTTCCCCCACCTTCCTCCCTCTCCTCCTCCGTGGGGATGTTTAAATGCCAGGGGATATAACCGATAGTTTGCGAAAGCAAAATAGTGAAACAAGCAATGTAGGTGAAATTAAGCAATTATTTAATGGAGCTAAAAGGGGAGAAGTTTTTTCTAAAGGTCAATACAGTGTACAGTAGGTAGATTTATAGCGCCTTCGATTCCGATTGTAATTTTGAATAGAACTTTCCCCTCAAAAACTGTCAACAAAGCCACAAGTATTTGCTATTTTTAATTTTTATTTTTCACAAACAACAACAAACATTTCTACGGTTATATTAGATAAGTACATTTGTATTACATGTAATTTAAGATTTCTACAACGTCTAAAAAGCATAAATTTTGGGGGGGGGGGGTGCAACTGAAGAACATAGCACCAGTTTTATATTTAACACGTAGCCTAGTCTTATGTAGAATATTATTCAAATAGAAAATGAAACAGTGTATTGCTGTCTACCTAAAGCTAAAACCAAGGAAACTGCGACGGAACTTGAACAAAATCTGAAAATTGTGAAATGGTATCGGGTCCAGAGAAAAGTTGTAGAATGTTTTTTGTTTTGTTTTTGTTTTTTTTTTTTTAATCGTATAACGTGGCTTTTCCCGCGCTTTTCACGAGTTGCTCTTTTATTTGTCAATCGAAACCAACTCAGTTTCCCTTGTTTTTCATTGGTTGCATGTTATCTGATCGCGTCGGCTTGTGATTGGCTTATTAGACCATCGTATTTGGCATTGGCACTATTTACAGTTCTTTTGTTTTAGGTGTATGACAGTGAGTAAAAAATCTCTTTGACGATACAATGCACCTTTATCACTTCGAAACTATACGAGAACAACTCGTAATTGTTTCAGCAAGCTATAATTTTTCTGATCGAACTTTTGCCCTAGGTGTTTGGTTTAGGGAATTGTCGCGTAACTGTTTACCAAGGGAAAAACTCTTTTGGTGAACGGTAAACCTTGGGTTTTGAAAGTTTTGTGGAAGCCACTGTGGTGTTCTTTTCCAGTGCCACAAAATTCATACCAAGTTCACTGTTTTCAGATAACATATTTGAAGGGTTCCGCAACACTAAAATGTTTTCGTTAGGCATTAAATAGCTGTGCTTTCAAATCTTTCATTGTAATAGCGAGATGTCGTTTAGGTTGATGTAACCAAGATTTTTAATATATTTATTATGAGCTTTTAATTGGATGTAGTTCCCTATTTCAGTCGTTGAAGATTATTTTATCAACATTATTTTATAAGTGTGGTGAATTTGTGAATTCTCTATCACATGTCAGACCAAAAGTGGGTAGACCGTCTTTCCTAGACCACGATATTAATATTTGTTACGATAGAGAAATTAATAAAATATTAACAAAAAGTAATGACGGTGTTTTTTAGATGCTTAAGGGGACTGAGTTTACAAGCAGGGTAGATATTATGGTTTCACTTCTTAACAAAACTGTTTATGTGTCAAAAGACAATTTTTGAATTTTTGTTTTTATAAAAATCCATGATTGTTCACTGAAACAATTGATAAGAACTGAGACGATTGATCAGAATTCTCGCACAGCAATTTTTCTTCCCTGGAGGAATCATTTTGCTCTCATGTTGATTTTGATTTCCCTGTGATGGCCATGTAGTCAAAAATCTTCCGACTTTTCATCTTCACCTGCATCTTCGTTCAGGCACTTTGAGTCTTTTACAGCCTGGAAATTATTCCAGTAACCTTCACTCTGCTTTAAATCTCCCTTGACCGGCATCGAATCTTTTTTTTTTTTTAATTTGAGCACTATAAAAAGCCAAACGGAAGTTTAATCAGCGCGCGTAAGAGATGAAGTTTAAGTTCACGAAAAAGTTCGACGTAACCCTTCCCTCCCCAGTTCCCAACCCAGTATCTTAAGCCGTTTTCGTTTTTTTTATTTTTTTATTTTTTTATTTTTTAAAAGAAAAATGACATCAAAAAATAGTTAAAACTTAAGTTGTCTGACGATAGCCTGACGCATGAAATTAAAAATTCCCACGATTCTAGATATCAAATTTCTCTCTACAATATCAAGCACTTAAGGTCCTCAAGCAGATAGTGTCGAGAGAAAGAGCTTCATCAGTAAGTGTAAATGAACATGATGTGAAATCTCATAACTAACATTGCGAGGAATATACGCCAATCGGTAAGAAGAATTTGTATTTTGTGTAGGGGACTACAAAGGAAACTAACCTGTACACGCAAACAAGCGCCGCTGCCCAGACTTAACATTGTTCTCTTTTCACGTCCATGAGCAAGAAACGTGTTTGTACCGCCCTCAAAACAGGTTGTAATTTAACCAAACCCCGCATCGCGGCCGCTATCCGAGATCGTTGCCAATCTCGTTATGATTGTCAAAAATGATTTCCTTTGTTGTTCCCTAGTCAAAATATAGCAAGCTCTGTTCGTTTGAAATGCTAAAGATTTCCGTAACAGATCGGGCTACACGTGAGATCGAATTATCGAAAAGTGCATTACACTTCATGACTATCACAACCGGACGTTAGAATAGCTTCTGTTTTCATAATCAAATAATTCTGCCAGAGGATAATAGACCTCCTTAGCTTGGGAAGTTTGTTTTCCCATTGCAGACCACGTGATGATACTCTTGAGAATTTGAGAGTGGTTTTCAAATAGTAATGTGTATATGAGTGAATAATTTTTAGATGGATAAAAGAACAATTTTCTAGAGAATACCACGTGGTCTGTAATGGGAAAACAAACCGCCCAAGCTTAAGAGGTTTATTACATTCACGTGCTCAATTTTTTTTCTGTTTTATTCTTTGGCACTTTCCCAAGCAACTGCGTATCACGTTCACGAACACTTCAATTAAACCCCAGAAACAATATTTGACATAAATAAGTATTTACGTGATGCTGAGCAGAAGATTTTCAATTTTAATTCTACGTCCATAAAGAAAATTAAAACTATAATTATATCATAACATAACAGTAGCATTTCACAGTACTCAAAATTACTTTAATTTGATATTCAACTAACGAAGGGCAAATGCTGGCCAACGCGCCCCTGCCTCGCATCTCTTGCGAAGGTGTTCTGCAAAAAAGGTGTTCCGAAGGGGTTCCTTAGACTAGCTGTCTTGGAAAGGCGTGTTCACTGGTCTGTTGAGACTCGTCTTTTCATGTGGCGGTAAACGTCTGATATCTTGCCAGAAATCTGCTGGAAACACGAAACTTTACTAATACTAACAGTCGATAGTCCCTCTATTTACCTGTACGCCCCCCCCCGCCCTCATCGCCCCCCCTCCTTGCTTACCACTGCCATCCAAAGAAAAATATTCAGGCCTTCAGCCACGCCCATGTTTAAAGCCGTAGCTGAGCGAGTGTAAAATTTTTATGGGTGCCTGCTTTCGTCAGGGTCCGTGATGGGGAAAGGGAAGTTTAGGCATCTTTTGCTAAGAGGTGCAAAACAGATTTAGATTTATCAGCAGGTAGAATTGAGGGTCCACAATGGAGGGTGGTGAAGGGTATTTTCGTGACTCGTGATCGGCCCTTTTTTTTCCCGTGAAATGTGAAATAGCTAATTTTTTCCTCGTGAATCGTGATTTCCATAGTCGCCGTGAACCGTGATTTTCCAAAACGTTCTCTTTTATTTTCCGTGAAGCGTGAAATGCCA